CCGACCGGAAATTTCGCAACGCCTCCTCCCTGTCCACCGGGCTGTCGAACTCGGTCATCAGCCGCTCAATGACCGCCTCCCATGATGTCTTCCCGCCAGCACCGTCCAGGCTGTCATATACGGCCTTCGCCCTTCCTCTCAGCAGCGTTCCCAGCACCACCAGCTTCGCCTTCGGTTCCTTCACCCCTACCAGCTCCGCCACGGCCTCAAACTCCTTCAAGAAGCTCCGCACATCCCCGTCCTCAAACTCCTTCGGCCATGGAATCTTCATCCTTTGCGTAGGCAGCGACACCAAATGTAGTGAATGAGAACACAGGTGGGGCAACCGAATTGTGTTTAACGAAAATTATAGAAAGGAAGAGTTAGAAAACAATGGAATTTGTATGAAACGCATGAATAGTGACAATGGATTGGTGTTTTGCAACAGGAACAGTCCAGTTCGATATGATGGACTGATATTTTGCAAATTATCGATTTACGATATGGTTTTCCGATTTTACTGAGTAACTCCGTAATTTTCTCTGGAAGCCATTACCAGAGAAAATTCTTACCATAAAAAATATTGCAGTACCTAATTCGAAAAGGAAGTTGAGACAGTTCCTGGGAAGAGCGGCGTTCTATAGTCGGTTTGTCAATAATTTCAACGAAATAGCAGCGCCCTTATATAAGTTGCTGAGCAACACCAAGTTTACATGGACTGAGGCTGCCGAACAAACGTTCAACCGAATCAAAAACATGCTAGACGATCGTCAGATGACGCTGCGACTGCCTGAACCCGGTAAACTGTTTACAGTGGCCACAGATGCAAGTGATCATGGTATAGGTGCGGTATTGAGTCAGGCTGATAGAGTGGTGGAATACGCAAGTCGCGTTCTCACACCCGCCGAACAGAAGTATTCAACGATCGAAAAGGAGTGCCTAGCAATCGTGTGGGCAGTAGAGAAATGGAGACCGTACCTTTTAGGTAGACGATTTCACATTGAGACTAACCATAAACCCCTGCAGTGGTTGAGAACAGCAAGAGACCCCCGAGGGAAGTTGGCGCGGTGGATGATACGTCTGCAAGAATACGACTTCAGTAGCGGCCATGTTCCAGGAAAAGAAAACGTAGTGGCGGATTACTTGTCAAGATCAGACATGGAAGATGACCTTCCAGTGACAGCATACGCGGTGAATAGTTTAGATGGAGACCCATTAGAACTCATCCGGCAACAGAAAGCTGACCCGAACCTTCGAGAGGTAATCAGAGTGATAAAAGAAGGAGAAGACGTAGACAAACGAACAACGGACAAGGAGGTAATAATGTTACTTAAGCAAAAGGAACGACTGAAAGTGAACGCATATGGAGTCCTGACCTGGCGGGATGATGACGAGAATTGGGTAGCAATAATCCCAAAAGATCTGCGCCAGGAGATGATTCGTGAATGTCACCAGGTAGCGCACACAGGTATTGCACGGACAACTGATTTGCTGCAACAAAGTGCGTACTGGCCAGGTATGAGAGACGATGTTGCACGATATGTGTTAGCGTGCCAGCGATGTCAACTAATGAAAGGGGATCGATGCATACGGCCGCCATTGCAGTCAATTCCAGTAACAGCAGTTGGTGATTTGTGGTCAGTAGATGTTATGGGACCGTTCCCGCAGATGACAAGTGGTAACCAGTACCTGCTGGTGATGACTGAGCATGCCACACGATGGGTAAATGCCGTGCCGATGGCGGACCAACGTGCAAGGAGGGTGACGGAAGCGGTAATGCGGCACATTGTGGCGGACCATGGGATACCAAAGATAATATTAACCGATCAAGGTCCCTGTTTCGAGAGTGATGAGTTCAAGTCCCGTCTAAAGCAGTTAGGTATCAAGAGAGTACGAACAACGCCGTATCATCCACAGACGAATGGGTTAACGGAAAGGAATAACCGAACGCTAAAGGAATGGCTAGCATCTAATGGGGGTGACTGGGAGAAAGAATTACCATTAATCTTGCTGGCACATCGTGCCTCGGCACAGGGAACAACCAGGAAGTCACCGTTCCAGCTGATGTATGGCAGACGGCGGAGACTACCAACGCATGATAAAACCTGGCCGCAACAACAGAGATTGAATACAACAAGGTTGAGAACAGAACGGAGACAAGCAATCAGGAATGTGAGAGAGAAACAAACATCAGACATGGAGAAGTCAGAACAGGAGAGAAAGAACTGGAGACCGTTTGAAGTGGGAGATCAAGTGAAGTGTAGAGAACGGAAATATACCACAGGAAGAGGGCCAGGGTCAGGTAAGCTGATCCCGAAGTGGGAGGGACCGTACGTCGTCACCGAGAGGCGCGGCGCAGTGTATACGATCCAGAAAGGAAACAAACAGAAACGCGTGAATGTCAAACTTCCAACAATACTAGTTTCATTTGCTTATCTGACCATTTGGAATTATTTTTCAAGTATAATACACGAGGCAAATCATAAGCCGGCTAGATGATAAGTGGACCTGATTTGCCAAAAATGGCCTTCGTTTGTACGGGATAAGATATAATCCAATAGTGCTTTACTTTTCTGAGGGAGCCAAATGTGCTCGTATATCAAAAGACTAGGTTTCATTATCAACTCTCGGGAACTACGCGTCACAACAAAACGTGTGTAATGATAATAATAATAATGCTAATCGAAAAAAGAGTGAAATTTGAAATTCCCAATCGAGTTGGATGGTGTCTTCTGACTACCATAAGCAACAATGCAAGCATGTTCGGGATGTGGTTCTCCCCTCGAAATGCTAAATGATGGTTCAAGATTGGGTTGCATCGGTACCTAAACTAGTGATAGGGAGTGAAGTAGTCGAAGGTGTACACAGCTTCACTTACCTTGGCAGTCTCACCAATGCCGATAGCCTTGGTGACTGACGAAATCTCAGCTTGGATACAGAAGGCTCGATTGGCTTTTGCCAACCTGCGTCACTTATGGCGCAGTTGAGATATCCGTTTGCTGACCAAAGGACTAGTGTACTGCGCAGTAGTTCGCTCCGTCCTACTTTATGGCCGTGAAACATGGCCAGCCAGAGTAGAACATATTCGTAGGTTACTGGTTTTCGATCATAGGTGTCTTCGAAGCATCGCTCGTGTATTATGGGACACCCGAGTAAGCAACGCTGTTATTAGGAAGCGGGTGCTAGGCAAGAATGGCAGATCAATAGATGAAGTGCTGAAACTTCATCAGTTGAGGTGGTTGGGACATGTGCTGCGTATGTCCAACCACCGACTGCACCGTCGAATTATGTTTTGTGGTGTAGGAGTAGGTTGGAAGAAGGCTAGGGGTGGTCAAGCCAAAACATGGCAGAAATCCACATAGTCACTAACATGTGGACTGAGTCATGTTGGTAGATGTAGGCTACGTGGTTGGGGTCCGCGAGACGAAAGTCACCGATGGTCAGAGACCTTGAATGACATGGCTCAGAATCGTTTGCAATGGCGGAGGTGCACCCACTCTTTGTGTTATGTCAAATTCTAACCTGAATTCCTCATAATCACTATCTTTCTCTTTCTAAAGTTATCTCACTGAATTACACTTCGCGAATCATACCTTCGAACCTCAATCTTCTCCATTACTGCTAATACTACTACTATTTCTACCACTATTGAATTTGAAGGGACAATTGCGTCTCTGTGATAATGTGGTGTGGCAACCTGAACTGATGTGCGTACGTACGAAGTTCAACGTTGTAACTGACTGACTGAGAGTCAATCCATCAGAGTCCGTTAGTTACCCTCTATTTGAGGATACAGAGCGTATTTCAGTTTGCCATTTTAACTGCTTCAGAATTGTGCGTAGCAACTAAATCTTGTTGAAAGTTAGTTGAACTATTCTTTAAAACAGAATATCACTCATTCTTTTCATAATATGCAATTATTTCCTTATACACTACTTGTTCGAATTGTCTATGCTTCACATTAACCTACGTTGCTCTCATTCTCCTCAGTATGCTTTACCATATCAACTACTTTCTCAACACGGTTTACTCTTTCTTCTCTCCAGACAAGCTAAGGATGCAATAATCATGTGCAGTTTAGTCCCCATGTTAAGTTTAATTCATCAATACTTCTGGTTCCTTCTGTTAATTGTAAGTTTTGCATTGAATGTGTTTCTTATTTACGGGATATAAATGGTTTTTTTCTGTATGGTTGTAGCGTTTTTAGACTCCATTTCTACAATTCATATCAAAAAACTTATTGATCAAAATAAAAAGTTCAAAGCACTGGACTGTGTTATCCTGTCTCCTACTCCGTTATCACTCTTCAGAAATCACATTATGCTGATCCATAAAGCCTTAAATTTCTATTTTACAGATTAGTTATTATTTGTGAATTAAAGTACAGCATTCATAATGGTAGATGTGACATATATTTAAAAATAATTGTTAATCTGATTTGTTCATTAAGGAATCTTCAGATTGTTGCTTCTAACAGTTATCGGTACACAGTACGTAATAATACTGAACTCTGCTATAATAATCATTCACTAGTCCATTGTTAGCAGTAACCATAAAATTCATATCAAATTGCTGATTAATTTTGAAGTATGAATTTTCAATCACATTCAGTGTTATCATCAGTTAAGCATTGTACTTTTCTCAACGTGTTTTCGATTTCGAGTGCCGCTTGATTTATGAAACGAAGGTGTCTATTCTAATTTGCCCACACTGTAGAACCATACTTCTCTCTCTGTAAAGGAAACTTTGTTCGAAGTGGTTTTAATCATGTGTATTAGGATATTCATCAAAAATCCTTAGAGAATATTTTCTATTCTATTGGTCGATTCCTACTGGTCAATATTATGGTCGTCCTGACTATCAATGTCACTTCAAATGTTGTTTCCTATTCGATCTAAATGTATAAATACGCATTATCTTTAACGTTTTATGACTGGACCCGGATCCCTAGCCCGGATCCTGATTCTCTTCTGGATTCGGACCTCGTACTTTCTGGATGTTTGTAGAATACAGGTTCTACTTCATATCAAGTCTTCTTCGTTTACTCAGTGGTGGGGGGGTTGGGACACTCGGATTGAGTAGCATGTCGTATCGCCGGATCCTCGTTCTCGTTTTCCGACTAGGTAAACTCGTAATAGTTGAAGCATATCAAATGACGGGTTTACGTGCATGCGTAACAATGTGATAGTGTAACTAAAAAGCCTGAGGAGCAACTGTTTGAGATCAATTACATACAGTCTTGTGCTTATTCCATACTCATGGCGAGAGAAATCTATGGGGCGATGTTGTTTTATTGTTACGGTCAATCTATCTTAGACCCATCTTTTCCTTGTGCAAAGAAAGCATCACTACGGATGCTGCCTGTGTACAGGAAAAACATCTCACTTACTAAATACTCTAATACAGTCAGCCGTACAAATATGTTGTCAAAACTTTAGTTGCTCCTTTCCGTTTTACTTCGCTCCAACTAACCTACTTGGCCTTCTTGGACCTTGAAAGACACTTGTTCTAGCTAACATACCTCAATTTGTTTATCACAATAGGCAAGGAGAATCACCTTGCCAGATTATCGGCTACAGCTGACCGAACATTACAACACTAATGAATTTTTATTTAGTTAACAGGAAAACTGTCTCAAATGAATTCACTTGTGTTGTTCGATCTTCCTAAACTTTATGTTAGCGCATAACTGAGTTTTCTAGATTTTCTATAAATTATGAGGAATTTTTTCTTGATTTTCTCACTGTATTGTAATGCAGATGTATTCGTAAATACAATGCAAACGGTTGGTTAACATTTGCTAACAATATATTTACACTACTCACATAATATTTAGTAGTAGAGTATACAACGTTATATTTGTTTGCTTTGTTTGTAATACTAGATTCCTGTTCGCTTATTCTATGTACTTTGGGTGAATATTTTGGCACCATGGATATTTGATCCAAATCAAGAAACACAAGTGAATGAAAAGAAACAAAAGAAAATGGAGCGGAAAATGCGACGAGTCGGTCATTTGATGCATGGTACCGATAGAGCTGTGGGTCGAGCTAATTAAAAAATAAGGATGATGTTGAGTATTGTAATTTATTCTGTCCATGTTCCCCAATCCATTTGCCGTATTATTTATTGGTCATGCGATAATTCTTTTTGTTTTGTTTTTTTGTACCTCTAGTATGTATATGTGTGACAGTACAGTAATCATCTGTAATTATGTGTACAGTTTCTCAAATGATTCATTTGTTTCGTGATAATATTACTGTATGATCATTATTATTATTATTATTATTATTATTATTATTATTATTTATTCTTAAATATGCTCAGTCGTAAATAATTCTATGATCATTTTCATTTGTCATGGTTTGATTTTCTAGAATATTGCAAATGTCGTTTATTGATTGAAGTGGTGAAAAATGTGTGTACTTGTCATTATTTCCAGCTATTTGACCAACAGTTAACTTGCTCGATATAGATTCAGTAGTCTAAAGGTTGTGCAAACTCCTGTGTTCAACTACCAGTAGTGTAGTAGCCATTCATTGCGGAGGAATTTCACATTAGAACAAAACAGCTGATTGATCAGTGCTTCCTGGTTTTCACTGATCGTATTTTGTTTTATTCACTTAAACACGTAAATATTAGTACAAAGGGTCATCGAAATAACTAAACCATGCAATAAGCAAAATAGATTGTGAAGAAATACATGAGTAAATGTAGAGAAAATAGAAAAGTCAGTTCAATTAAGAAAAATACAAAGAGAAATTCCTATCATTTAATAAGCTTTCTTCAATGTTTTTAGAGAAAGTAACAGAAAATTACAACAGAACCTGTACTGACTTCTAAACTGAGCCATGTCTTATCACGTTCCAGGCCAATGAGTTACAATCCTTCCAGAACCTTAACGAGAGAGCTATACCACATGACTTGTGTTCAACGAGACCCGTTTAGCCGCGGGACCATTCCCCTATGTGTTTAGGCGCTTGAGATACACATTCGAATCTCCAGTTAGTGCTAGAGTATCTATTGATCACGCTTTCTTGTGAAGATTATTTAACCACCAGTAGAAACCCTCCCTAAACGCATTCGACTTACAGTGTGTTCGGGAGCAGATGGAGACATAAATATGATAAAACAATTACGGAAATGTAGCTTGAAAAAATTTTCATTGAATGAACGCTGTAGGAAATATCTGTTAATCTCAATGATTCGCTTGTCTAGACCTTTGGACAACTTAATCCATTCTCGAGTTATCATTCACACGTCTTCCGACCTTGCCAACTGTTCGCTTTTATCGTGATTGTTTTTATTTGAGTGTGTATGTTTACCACTAACTTTCAATATTACATGTGCAGCTTATTTTGTCTGACCATAAATGCTTAGTCATACCTAATTAGATTGAGTTAACTCGCTTGCCTTCTCCACTTCGCTTCGTTTGTACGCTTTCCATTCTCATGTCTGCCTACACAAACGATTGCTTGAAAATATTTCATCCAATGGAATCTGTATCTAGCTTCTTATTACAGCCGTCGTACAAACGCGGTTCGCCTAAGTATGACATACAGCAACTGAAGGGGAGATTTATTTTGTAGCATACTCAGTTGTTTATAAATATCGGAGTCAGTTAGCGGGCCGCTAAAATTGTGAGCCCTACTCCGAATCTAACGCAGCCACCAGCATATATATATTGCGGTAGTCAGATATTCATGGATGTACAATTATTGACTAACACTTTAATTTTCCTTTACCTATTTGAGATAAGTGTCGTTCGAGTAGTTTTCTAAATGATAGAAACCCTGGCTATAGAAATACACATCTTAGTAAAAGATAATAATCCCAGTTTTTAAAAACTATCACTGAAACACAAAAAAAATTGTGTGACTAGATTTGAAAAATAATAAACTGTGAACACCAAGAAATACATAAAAGTGCACGATTCATTCCGAGGTCCATACTTCATGTAGAAGTAGCTAAATTTTCCAAGACTTGATATACAACCATTCAGTACTTACTCTATGGTCGTCCAACAGTTTATAAGATAAATGTCCATTTAAGGCTCATTCTTTATCATCGAGGGACCGACGACTATACTCCGAAGACACAGTAGATAATGAACTACTCTGATTAGGATAAGTATGGTAGACCTGTACAGCACTGCGCTTGGAAATTTCGCCTAAAATACATAGGGACTCATCTTAACTCAAGACCGTCAGAATGTTACGCGTTTACCACAAAACACTTCGTTTGTGGCTAACAATCCAAGTTCATCGGAAGTAAACTAAGTCATAAACTACGATATGGAAGATTAGGTGTAGCTTAAGAACTCTCTTCATGGTTATTTAGTTTCAATGATACACTGTAGAAGAAGTTCCAACATACGGACTTTAAAAATCTTTGAAAACAAACAATTGGCTACTAAGAATTGTATTATCTTCCCCAGTCAAGTTATCACTGACTGATGAGTCTTAAATAAACTTCTACCTTTGGCAAAAATCAGTGTGCAATTACACGTTTGCTTGCTGTTGTAGAACAGGTTATATTTGCCTCACAAAGGAGAGTGAAAAACATTCAACAACTCAATACAGGAGTATCTCTTTAATACGGGGCACGTTGTCCCATAAGAGCAATCATAACATTAACAATAATTGTAAACAAACAAAATATACGTAGTGGTTAAGGTGAACAACAGAAGAAGCGATAGGTGTATAGAAAGAAAAAAGGGAAGAAGCACACACAGAGGAATTTTCTCACATTTTTATTGGCTAATCCAAATGAATTCTACAAATACAATTAATACGGTGTGTTTGTAGCCGACTGTCTTTATGAGAGACAGAATGAGTTTATCATTCACTCATAACAATCGATAATTGTGTTTGTCAGAATGTAATGTGGTTAATTTTGACTTTTTCTTCACCATCTGAAGTTAAATGAATTCTTAGTACAATTCTAAAGCGTACAAACTTCACAAGCTATGCAAAATGAGTAAACAATGAACTAACACTTACCCGTTTTATATATCGCTAATTGTAAGCATTTTACAGGTCGATTTAACAATCAACTATTAACTACTCAATGAATTACAATATATGCAAATTCCTATTTGTAAGCTTTCTCTCTAATTCTAACCTGAATTCCTCATAATCTCTTTCTCCTCCTAAAGTTATCTCACTGAATTATACTTCTTGAATCATATCTTCTCTCCCTAATCTTCTCCATTACTGCTAATACTTCTACTACCGCTATCACTCTTGGATTTGAACTGACAGGTACGTCTGTGTGTTGATGTGGTATGGCAACCTGAACTGATGTACTTATTTACGAAGTTCTGTGTTGTATCTGTTCGCCCGTCTGTATGATTTCTCATGTGAAGTTCATTATTTAAGGTTTGTCACTAAATGGTAACTTCTCTGCAAATTCTTATGGATCAACGTACGCTAATATATACTGATCATACTTCAGCCTACAATGTCAATGATGGAATAACATAAAATTAAGAATAGAATTTATGCTTGTTGTATATGTTAGTGAAAAACTGAATATACTGTCAATGTGAAGAGAATGGTACTGGTTTAGAGCGAGCTGCACTGTACACATCAATATTCGTTGTAGTACATCGAAAATAATGAACCGTACACTTCACCTTTACTGTCAGCAACGTGAATTATGATACAGAACACTTCGTCTAAAGGAATTGTATCCCTATCCGCATAACTTCTTGTTTTTTAAGTGAGTTTGATGCTACTGAAATCAATTAAGTAGTCGTAATGTTCATGGAGAATAATGTCTTTTTCCAACAATTTTGATGATGTATGTTCAATCTGTACACTGTACGTATTCAGTATGAATATACACAATATAATAACTTACATTCTTATTAAACGATGTAACCTATGTTGGATTATTCATAGACATTATCAGGTAAATGAAAGCATTGATCATTCTCATAGTTGAAATCACGAACTGATATTAGCTAGACAACAACATGAAAGCTGGAAGCACTGAACAGCTGTGCACATCCTAGTGAATGACTCTTTAGCCTAAGGGGTAGAACCCAGGACCTTAAGTGGAACAGTAAGTGCTAAACTACTAGGCCAGTGAGATGACAACTGATGTTGTGCGTGTATAGCTTCAGCTGATTCGAGACGTTAGAAAGTTATTTGCCGTAGTTGGGAAATGCTATCCAGCACTTTCCGGTTCACAGTGAATATATAACCTGGGTTACTTCTTGATATTTATTTATACTAGATAAGTTGATTTGAAATCTTTGGGAAACGTATTAATTTTGTAAATATAACTAAACTTCATAGTTGATCGAAAACAAGATTCGAATTAAAGATGTTGTGTTGTTGTATAATATATTAATTTGAATGTAATTCTATCAAAGACATTGTTAAAGTATTGCAAACTAGCCAATTCCAAACCCGTCATGATCTCGTAATGAGAACAAACTTAAATAAAATAACTTTGACTAGAGATCACAATGAAATGTGATCAGTGGAACTCGACCAATAAAATGATCCAGACATCTACGATTTTGGTTACTATTATTACATAATCGATCCCATATTTATGAGTACTCACGCGTAAATAATAATCGAACACTTTTTACAACTAATCTGTATGATCACACATGTTTTCTATTTAATAAATCACAACAAACTACTCAACAGAGCATATCGATCATAAAGTGTAGCTAAAATCATTTGGAAGTAAGGAGAAAGGTCACGAATGAAGTCGTAGGCATGTTACAAAAAACCAGTTGAGTCAGTATGATTGTTTTAAATAGTAAGTAAGTGTGAGATTCATATTCCAAAGGACATATTATGCCGATTATAAACTTAACTGATACTATCATTAAAGAGTTATAAGGGAGTTACTTCAATCACATTAAGGACTAACTTTGTACGGTGTACAATTTTAATTTCCCATACCCTGGTCAGCCCTCGTTGTGCATTGACGGCAGACCAGGATTCTCCATTCCATTCTGTCCTACACTTTCCACATGCCATCCATTATTTTCGTGTCTGCTTACAATATCTGGTGCGAAGCGCTCTTTTACCT